TACATTTTTCTTTTTTTATCTTTTTGTTCTTTTCTATATTCTTTTCTTTTTCTAGTTTTTACATTATTATTTTATTTAAAAGGATATAAACTAAAAAAAGATATTTGCTTTAAGATTAAAACTTGTTTTGAACGTAGATATAAAAAAAAAAGCTAAAGTATAATTCTAATTCTATTTTTAGAGATTATATAGCTTTATATATACTATATAAAACTATAGCTATTGAATATTCATCTCAAAAGAGTTTATTACAAATTAGCTTGTCATGTTATTAATTATTGCATAATTCTTAAGAGGAAATTAATGAAATGTGTTATTTTGTTGCCACAGGTGTGGGCATTGTAAACGTCTGAAGCCAGAATATGCAAAAGCAGCTGAGCTGCTCATAGGTAGCGAGCCACCAATCACGCTCGCCAAAGTCGATTGTACAGAGGCTGGAAAGGATACGTGCAACAAGTTTTCCGTCAATGGTTATCCGACACTCAAAATCTTTGAGCATAATGAGGTCAGGTCTGACTATAACGGTCCTAGAGAAGCAGCCGGCATTGTTAAGTACATGAAGGTAATATCTAGTATCTTTTATTTATTTATGAAGGTCCAGTTGTACTATTTTCTTACCTGTGATTATCGTTTCAGTCCCAAGTAGGACCGGCATCTCAAGAGTTGACTAGCGAAAAGGCCCACAAGGCGTTCCTAGAAACTGACGAAGTCATCGTAATAGGTTATTTCGAAAAGGATGATTCACCATTGTCTGCAGCATATCATACTGTTTCCAAAAAGCTCAGAGAGAAAGTCAAATTCGCTCACACGTCGGCGAAGGAAGTTTTGGACAAAGTATCTCACAAGTATGTCTCTCTCAAGAATTATAGAGATAATTTTTTTCTGTATTCGGTTGTGAAGAAAATAACTGTTCGAGAAATGAAATATATTAACTAATACACTTCTTGTTTTAGGAATGGAATTGTCCTTTACCGACCAAAGATACTCCAGAACAAATTCGAAGATAACAACATTGTATACAAAGGCAGCGACTCTATTAATGACGTGAACGAATTCGTTACCAAGAACTAGTAAATTTCACCTTTCTCTCTCTATCGAAACTTTTAGGTAATTTTGGAATCACTTTTTAACACTGACTTTGTTACAGCTACGGTATCGTCGGCGTACGCACTCGCGACAACTCGCAGGACTTCAAGAGCCCTCTGGTAATTGCCTACTACAATGTGGATTACGTGAAGAACGCCAAGGGTACGAACTACTGGCGCAATAGAATCATCAAGGTCGCCAAGGACTTCCCCGCGTACTCCTTCGCCATATCTTCTAAGGATGACTTCCAGCACGAACTGAATGACTTTGGCATCGACTACGCAAAGGGCGATAAGCCAATCATTCTAGCACGAGATGATAAGAATCAGAAGTTTGTTCTCAAAGACGAGTTCTCCGTGGACACGTTTGAGACGTTCCTAAAAGATCTGCAGGCCGGTGCTTTGGAACCGTATCTCAAATCCGAGCCAATCCCAGATAGCAATACGGGTAACGTGAAGGTCGCGGTTGCCAAGAATTTCGACGAAGTCGTCGTCAATAACGGCAAAGATACACTAATCGAGTTTTACGCGCCCTGGTGCGGCCACTGTAAGAAACTGGCACCAGTATTTGACGAATTAGGCGAGAAACTGGTGGACGAAGATATCGAGATCATTAAATTCGACGCCACAGCGAACGACGTACCAGCGCCGTACGAAGTACGCGGTTTCCCGACGCTCTACTGGGCGCCCAAGGATGCTAAGGATAATCCAGTCAGATATGAGGGCGGTCGCGAGCCTGACGACTTCATCAAGTATATCGCCAAGCACTCCACCGACGAGCTCAAAGGCTACGATCGCAAGGGCAAGGCGCTGAAACCTAGAACTGATGAACTATAAGACATTAACCTATGTAAACGATCACAAAGTTCGTTTTTGCATTTTTTAATGCATCAATCTACGAAGCGATCCGCGAGTTTTTCTCACGTAATACGCAAAGCAACTCGAGTACAAGATCGAGCAAATGTGTATAAACAGAAATAACTCTTAGAGTGCAGATATCATGGGTTTTCCGCGAGACGTTTTGCAATAAGTGATGGATATTCGAATGGGGGGGAGGGAGGGGGAGGGAGGGGAGTGTCTCTAGCATATAGGATTGTCTACATATACTAATTGTATACTTTGTAACGATTGTATGACGTGATAAAACGCGTAGAACTGATTTGAAATTTTTTTCCGCAACATGCTTTCCCAGGATGTTTGGCGAATTATGAAGTTATACAGAAAACAACACTCCATTCCATTTCGCGTGTTTCGACTACTCTAAGTTAAGAGATAATGCAGCGATTTATGTTTATATATAAAAGAGCCAAAATAAATTGTTTTATAAGAAAAACGTCAAGATTTTCTATTCTTTTTCCTAAAGCCAATTATAAGTATCGTTTATGATGTACATACGAATAGTATCACGTTAAAATAAAAAAAGATACTAACAAATAAAATTTTCTCGCTTTTATTAACGGGTCATCCAGCAGTAGAACCGATTATATACGTCATAAGAAATGTTTATTGTTAGTTACAATTTGTTATCATAGCGTTCGTAGGTTAATCATACAGTCTTACATACAAAAGCTTAATTAGTAGTTTTGCAGAAAAAGGGTGTGAGCCGGTAGAAAGATTTCGGAAGTCCAAATCAATGATCCCTTTTCCTTTTTCCTGATTCACAAAAATCGGATTTAGTATTTCACGCACACACACATCGGAAAAAAACTGCCGATACTTCTCTCATATTTCTTGGGTTTTTCTTCTTGTACAAATCAGTTAAACACGAGTCTCAAAATATCTCTACTTATGAAAAAGATTAGCTTATGGCAATCATATAAGATCGCGTTTTATCGATAAGGTAATCTTGAGGTTTACGGAGCCTTTTAGGAAAAAGTACTCGTGTGCCTGTATGTGTGTGTATATGTATTTGTGCGGGCGTAGGAGATGCATGCATATCTTCTTTCCTTCTCTTAGTGTTAGCTCGTCGAAAAGAACGGCTCGTTCGATCGAACGCGCGTTGATCAATTTCATGTGACTGTATTAAAAGCCTGTTTTTCTAAACGATCAAGCTTGTTTTCGTTAATTTTTGCTTATTGCTCTCTTTCTCTGTTTATGCCATGCGACGGAATATATATATATATATATACATATATATATACATGAGTAGTGTGGTGTGTAAATGTGTGTGTATGTGTGTGTGCTCTGGAAAAACGATATTTGAATCTTGACGCGCGTATGTTTATCGTGATACGCGAAAATGTGGTAGAGTTTATATCATATATGTATATACACAATATCTCGGGTGCGTAATTGATACAATATACGTATGTACGTATATAGAGATGTGTATATATAATTTATATATATATATATATATACACATTTATATATCACGAAACTCAATATAAAAAGAACACTTTCGAGCTTCACAGCGACGCGCGACCTGTAGAGTGGAGCGTGTATTCGACACGTATTTCCCAAAGCACTCATTAACTCAGGCAAACTTAATCGCTTAATATACATCTCCCATTCTATCGTCATCTCTCTTTCTCACTTTCTTTCTCCGCCTTCCTTCCTTTTCTTTCCTTTCTACGAATCCGTCGTGCGCGCGTTTGCTCATGGCAGAAGTATCTTAAGTAAGTGTCGCTAAGCTTCTTTTTCCTTCAGGTGTCTTTGAGAAGTTTCGTAAAAGCGTACTGTGTAATAACAAGATCTACTATTCGCTAAGAGAAACGAGGAGAGAACTTAGTGAACACAATTCCGCAGTCGAGCCCATTGAATTAACGGCCGAGAGAGGCATCGCGTTACGCGGCCGTTAATTCAACATCACCTTTGTAAGAGACAATTTTTTCATTACAATAATCTTACAGATTAGACGGATCTATAGAAGACGAGTGTAGCATCATCCTTTCTCTTTTCATCGCGGCATAAACGACAGCATAAGCGAAACGGGAAGAGCTCATGGCGAAACAAATAGGTCGAACATTGGTGTGAATTTTACGAAACAGCTCGGCTCTACAATTGTGGCACACAAAATTAAGCGAGATATACGGCGTCGTTGTACGCAACCGATAATCTCCGAGTTTAGTACATCATACGCTAAAGATATCGATGGCGTATGTGTATAAAAAAACGCAAATCGCAAGTCCAGTCACGGTTTGGTCATACACAAAGAACGCGTTCCCCGAAATACATAAATATAAATGTAGTCGCTGTTATAATCTCCGTTATGTTAGTATCATCGTACAATAATTATAATAAAGTAATAATAATAATAATAATAAAATATAATAATACACACATTTAATCTAATTGATATCTTAAAAGTCAAAGTGATCTGCTGATCTATCTATGCGCGTTTATAATATAATAAATGTTCGTTTACTTTCTTTTCATCATTTAAAATTCACAAAAATGCAACGATTTTTAATAAAAAAGCAAGATGCAAGATTCAAAGTTCTCTCGAATTGTTTCTCTGAGTCTTATTACTCTTTGAGTGTATTTTGCACGTTTTGCGTATTCAACATTTTGATATTCTAACTTATTGATATTTTATCTCAATTCGCTCAAAAATTTTTCTTTCATTTTGTTTATTACCAAAATAAAGAGACACTACGATTAAAAAATAAAGGTGTAGAATGCATATAATAATTATAATAATATTAATTATATTAATGACAATAATAATAATAGTAGTAATTACTACAATGATAAAGTTAATTGTGTACCGTAGATAGCTGTTGGTATGACAATCATTTTTTTTGTTTTAATCATTTAATTCCGTAAGATTATAAGTATACTTGTATTGAATTTAGTTAGTATTGCTCGAGTTCTATCAGTGTTTCATTGATATGAAACTAAAAGGACTCGAGAAATACTAAGTAAATTCAATACAAGTATACTTATAATCTTATGGAAAACTATAATGTACATCTTGTCTGCGGTATTATGACTAGCTTTTTTGCAGCTAGTTCCGCAATTCCGTAATTTTGCCCATAACCACGGGCTCACTTGTCACAACATCTTAAAAAAGCCTACACCTTCCCCTCTTCTTCTTCTTTACCTAAGATTTTAAGATATATTTGCATTAATACGTGTATTAACAACGATAACAATAAATATCAAGTAATATTGTAATATTAAAATATATAATATTAACTCCCAACTTAACGATTTGGGACCAACTCTGATTTTCTCATTTTTTTTAGTAATTACTATTAGAATAGGTAATTGAAACGTACTTGTAATGCAGCTCGAGTTGCCGTTTCGAAAACTTCCCTTACGCCTTCCTTGCTTTTGGCAGAACACTCAAGGTAGGCGAAAGCATTGATTTTCTCCGCCATGGCCCTACCCTCCTCAGGCTTAACTGGCTCTTGTTTCATCTTGCCGAGCTCCTTGATGGTATTAGGATCATTGCGCAAGTCTTTTTTATTTCCAACAAGGATAATGGGCACGTTTGGGCAGAAGTGCTTCACCTCTGGTGTCCACTTCTCGGGAATGTTCTCCAAGGAATCGGGACTATCGATGGAGAAGCACATTAAGATAACATCCGTGTCTGGATACGACAACGGACGCAACCTGTCGTAATCTTCTTGTCCAGCTGTGTCCCAAAGAGCCAGTTCCACCTGTTCGAAGAAGCGAGAAAGGTCGTTAAGAGGAATTTTAGCAGATCTTTTGACGAAGGTAATAAGGAAAATATTTTAACGAGACGCACCTGTTTACCATCCACCTCGATATCGGCGACATAGTTCTCGAATACTGTGGGTACGTACACCTCAGGAAACTGATCTTTGCTGAACACTATGAGAAGACATGTTTTACCACAAGCACCATCGCCTACAATAACCAACTTCTTCCTAATGGCTGCCATGAATCCTAAAATACAAAAGAGTATACGTGGTATGTATAGTGGTAGTGAAACAAAAATCGGCATGATGATGTATAGTTTGACACTGTTCATTTAGAACATTTATCACTTTAGAAATGTATGAGAATATTGATTGATACGAAAAGCAGAACGTGTGGCATGGTACATTTATTACAAGTTAGTGATAACTTTCACAATTGCGATCAAATCGATACCAAAATCCTAATGTACTAAAATCGTCAAATCCTCTCTACTGTATCGTAATATTATTGTATATGGAATGTACATATTTACATATATATAAAAAAGAACTTGACAATATATATAGATTTATTTTATCTTAAACGACTAATTCGTATTATCGGTTTATCAATGTAGTTTTATCTGCATAAAGGGGGAGATAATACTCTGTGTGCCTCAAGGTGAAATCCCGGGGGGGAGGCATCTTATATATTTTTATAACTGTCAAAAAATGGGCGGTCCTCCACCAATAATAACTTACTACTTTTTACAGATATAGTATTCTTTTTTTATTATTCCGATTAATTTCGCAATCATATTGTGTTCAATGCGATAACGTTCGCTAGTTATGCTTTTATCGCGTTTCTCGCTAATTGTGACTCATTTGTACGAAGCATAACATATTTTCAAACTGTTTCCATCTTACGTATGAAGTAATCGGGCAGAATAGACTTTCTTACTAACATTATCTATACAACAAGTAACCTTATGCTTGTTAAGTGTAAAAGATGAGCGTTACTCTGTAAATTCAAATCTTTCAGGACATGTACTTTACGTGTCAACATATACAGTTTGGAATACCTTACAATCTAAGAGATAACACCAAATTGATATCGATTAAGAATTTCGATCAACTAATTGCGATATTATACAGGAAACTACCAGGTCGTTTGAACTAAAAGCATGCGGAGTGAAAGATTCGTGGCATACATGAATCATATTACGGAAAACGAAATATATCGATAAGACGCAAGAGATATCTGGAAAGAATTAAGAATTAGAGTCAGTGATTGATTACATTAGTAAACTTGCTTCCCTTATACAGCGTCAGTTACTTACTACAATTAGAGTGGAGCAGAGCAAATACTTGTAATCGAAAGCGTGTAATACAAATACGAAAGAAGTGATAAGGCTAAGAAGCGTTCTTCAGGATAGAGTTAGGAAGAAGAAAATTAGGGTGAACCTTCGTGAGACTGTGTAACTCGCGTTATCTACACCTCTTCTTGTCGGAGCGTAATAAAATAATGTCTCAAACCTCGTAAGCTATTTTATTCCTTGCTTTTTTCTTCCTCGATTTTATCGCAGTCTCTACTTCAGAAGTCGATCTCATAGAAGACGATGTCTTCCTTTTGGGAGAATAAAAATTCCCTTTGGCTGCTTTACTATTTTACTTGTGGTATCAATATATTACTATTTACAAAGCAAGTGACAAGAAAGAGATATATTCTAAACTCCTGTAGTCTACTCGATCGCGTTACGAAAAAGCGGGACCTACGAGGACCGAAGTCTTTAGGATACTGACTGGGTCGTACCTGATACCGATACCTGATAAAACATCGGTTTGCTTGGCAATCCGATGCACGAGCCCACGATGGTTTCCATCATGTTTTTAATCATTCTTTCAGCGTCTCTGTTTTAAGTGGACATTTTATATGTTAGATATAGGTAAAGGAAGCTGCGAGATGAACGCATATACACCATACAGCACACATATCAATAAATGCATATATATTTTCATATATATATATTTCATATTTAAATATATATATACATTCTGTTCTATGTTAAAAATTGCATAAATCCGAGATCTTCCTTCATTATAGACTACATGAAACTTAAAAGACTGTTTCTTAATTCTTTCCCTTCTGATATTAAAAAGAAAGAAATGTATACATATGATATATGTATACATATACATATTCTACACGGTACGTATGTATATATATATATGCTACGAGGTTTTCAGCAGGCGATTGTCAGTACGTATTCAACGACCTATGTACACATTTCAATTGATATATTACATTCGTTGTGGCTCTTTCTACATAAGGTAGGGTCTTTAATATTTTACTACATTCAGGACAGCATGACATACGAAATGTAACATTTATAGTAGTGCCTTATATTGATTGGTCCACACACAAGGGTCACATTTATTATATCAAGTTCTTTTCAATCAAAGACTGTACCTTATGCAGTGAAATGATAATCTATCAAAAGACTACATGCAAAGAAAAGAAGACATTGGTAAAATTACTTGCAGTTAGGCATGCAATATCAAATGCTGTATGTATCCATTAGAGAAGAACCATCCAACAAAACGTAAATCAAATCCGGTGGTGCACTGTACAAATATGTACATGACAATGCGCTATATAGAGTCCCACAAGAATTCAAAGGCAATCTCAACCTTTAAGGCGCCACACGTTCGACAATCTGAAATATGGTCACCTACTAAAAAAAAAAAGCGAATTAAAAGAGCGACTAACTCAAAAAGAAGTTACTAAATGATAGCAACAAAGGGAGAAAAAAGCTTGGATGCAAAAGTTTGGCCCCTCATGTCTTGTATCTCATCGCAATAATAAAGTATGATGATATTCAGCCAAGTTACACAAAAACGAAAGCACATGAAATATTGTCTATGAGGTACAAGAGAGTCGCCACAAGAATTTCTTCCTGTTGACAGAATGTCAACTCAAATCAGATATCGTCTCTCTTTCAGCCTCGAAAACGAAGCCGGCCGAGCGTTTCGCGCGACGGACGATCGCGTCCACGTCGATATCACGATTCCCGACACGCAGGAACGAGTCCTTTGTTTCGCAATTTACACACGTCGCTCACAACTTATCGGAAAGGGGGAGAGAGAAAAAGAGAGAGAGAAAGAGGGTGTGAGAAAAAAGTACATGCCGCTACATGAAACGAGTGTCGATAGAATATTGTACGTCAAGCTGGGACCAACCCTTTCGTGTATTTCTTCGAAACATAGAGTTCCACGAGGACGAGCAAGCGATCGGCGTCAGAAGACATGCAGCAGTCACCTCTGATGACCCCTAAATCCAGTTGCCGAGCGCCTCTCCTACGAGGACGACAATATTGCTACCTCGGGAGGGGTGTGTGTATGTGTTCCTTTCAATCGCGCTTGTCACTCATTACACCCTCTGTGCTTGAAACAAAAGGAAGACGTACTCGCGGTTTTCGTAAAGATGAGAAGTAGAGGTAGAATCATAGAGAAAGAGAAAGAGAACAAGCGTAGAGTTAAAAGAGACAGACCTGAATCTCTTTTCACACTTTTTCGCATCGGAAACGTCTCAAAAGAGAGTGAGAAGAGAAAGAGAGAAAGATAGATAGAAATAAAGTTTAAAAAGAGTATATCTAAAGCGAACGAGACCTAAGGAGTATGTCTCTCGGCGAAACTAACCTATACTTTCCACCGCGATGAGGACGGATAGCGAACAACGGCCAAGGTCGCACTGTCGCAGAGGCGAAAGAGGAAAGCGCGCGCGCGCGCGCGTAGGAGAGAAAGACGAAAGGAGATTTCGTAGCGGATACTCAGGACGCCATCGATGACGCAAGTGCCTAGAAGACGCTAACGATGACGCGAGATTCTCGGGAGACGCCACTAACGTCCGGGATGTCCGGCAGGTCCGCCCGTTCGCTCGCTCACGCTATTTGCACTCTTCTGCACTCGCTCGCGTATACGAGGCGTCCGTACTCGCGCACTCGCGGTGGCACGGAGAAAGGAGGCGAGGTGTAGAAAGTGCCGATCGAGAGTAACAGACCTCGGTGATCCAGGAGCGCGTTCCTTTCAACAGTCGCGGATTCTCTTTACTTCTTTTCTCTCTCTTTCTTTCTCCTTTTTCCTCTTCAACGCGGTCGCGGAAATCCTTCCCGAGGATCTTTACGCCGATGGGAAAGCGGAGCGCGGTGCGAGAGCGGAATCGAGAGTGGAACGTACCCGAGGTCTCCCCGGACGATGCTGGGCACGTTCGAGGCGCAATCGCGTCACGTCAAAAGCGCGCACGTACCTCAGAATTCGTTTACGCGGGGGCGGGGGAGGTGGGGGGAGAAGAAACGTCGTCGTCGGGCAACATCCGGCACGATCGAGACCGCTGTCACGAAGGCGAGACGTCGACCGATCGTAGATCAGCCGCACAATTACGATTTCGGCCTTCGGGGCGGGGGGGAGGGGGGGGAGCGAAGCGATAAAAGCACAAGGTGTCTGTACTTTTTAACTGCACTCACACGATTTTCCTTTTCTGGAGGAAACTCGCACCACTCGCGAGAACTCGAGAGGGGAGGCGGGGGAGGGGGGAGGGAGGAAGAAAAGGGAAGCGACGGCACGAGAGTGCGTGGTGTGGCGTAACAGGGGGATACACGGAACAATCGTCGCGGCAGTGGAAAGAGGAAGAGAGAAAGAGCGAGAGAAAGAAAGAGAGAGCGAAAGAGGCGTTTACTTACTGGACTAAACGGCCACGTAGTGTCAGGTAGAGCCCGAGAACATTCCAAGAGTTCCGTCGCACGGATTTACTTGCTCGGCTCCGCGGCACTCGGCAGTGGTGGCGGCGGTGACGGCGGCGACCAAGATAACGATGACGACGTGGACGTAGACTAAGCACGAATCGCAAACGCACGACCGACGGGCGACGCGGAATCGAACTTGTGAACTGAACCGAGATACCGTCCAGACACCGTGTTCAGAGCGCGCCTCGCCGTGCGGTGATACCGAGCGGACGAGATTCGCAACGCATGGCACTCCCTCGAGAGCTCCTGGCGCGACCCTCTCTTTCTCTCTCCCCCCCGTCTACTTATCCCTGTCTCGCTCTCTCCCTCTCTCTTCCTTACTCTGCTCACGGAGAAGGAGGCTCCTTTTTTTCTCTCTCTTTTAGCACCGTACTCGAGGCCCGACGTCCCGGTGGGATCTTCAACGCGCCCGGAAACGCTCGCGACGTCCGCACGCACGACGCACCACGCACCCTCTCACCACTCCGATCGGCGTTAATTTAAGATATATTTGCGTATTTACCTGAAATCTTGCGACAGAAAATCAAGAAAATGGCTGCCCTCGTTGGCCACACCTCAATCTGTTGAGTGTGCGGCGAATGGCCGCGGTGGTGGGGGCTGAGCGGCGACAGCGGCAACTTCAGCTCGTCTCAGGGACGTGCCAAGCACCGGCGTACTTAGGGCGATTGTCGCGCTGGCTTCACAAAACCGGGTCAATGATTTTAAATTTATTAGAGTAAACGGGACATTGATTTCGTGCGATACAATATTATTTTTTCATATGTTTTTATTATTTATAACATGCATTGTAACATGACGTTTTCGGTAAATCGAAAATAAAGATTAATTAATTGATTGTAACCATATGACTTTTTCCAAAGAAATGATTCTCATAAGCATATTTAATAACAATAAATTATATTTATGTAAACAGATATCAAAATAATTACTCAATTCCAACGTATTACATCTAATCTGAATAGATGTATTAAATATTAAAAATAAAGAAATTAGACGATTAAAAACGCAACGAATACAAATAAGATAATAAAGATACATAAATGTCTTATCCATTTGTGCGTTATATTTAATCTCTATTCCTAATTTCTTTATTTTCATTTAATTATACTTATCTTGTTCCTAATATTTCTTCTATTGTGAGCGCCTAAATAATATGGAGAAAAAAAAGAACAGAATAGAAAAATCTGAAGATGCAAAAGAATGTGTATTTGGCGGCATATGCTGGATTCACCTTGCATCCGATTTTCGTCACAATACATTTCCACCGATTGTTTGCGAATTCTGATTGATTTTCACGAGAGTCAAGCCGCAACCATCGATCGTAAAAACCGCTGCGAGATCTACAAAATGATTCAACGGGATCCATTTGGAAATTCGCCGTCGCTCTCGGGGCCGCGTGGCGCCCGCCATTCACGACGCCTCGCTCCAGTCCTGCTTCCGAAATCGGCGAATCACGTGTCACCGGCGCGCACCGCACGTCACGGACCTGTGGAAGGAACTTTGCGCACACTTCACGCTTCTCGCTTCGTACCGCTGTCACTTGTAGGCGGATGACGGAAAGGGTTGGAAAATATGTAAATAAGCGGCTGTTCCTCCACCGTGTCTCTGCATTTGCGACCGTTTACCGTCGTTGCGTTGCGACACGTAAATTTGGGAAAATTTAGAGAAACGAAAATGCTCAAAGCATTTCTTGAATCTACACTTCTCTTTGCGTTTTAAGACCGTGCGAGATAAAGATATTGCAAAGTCGACGGAAATATCAAAAAAATGTATAGTATTGCATACATTTTTAGCGTAAAGAATAAAAATTAGTTAATTGATATAAAAAAAGATGTAGTTTTCAAATATTATATATAAAAATCTTTCGAAGTTTTTTTTATTTGTTGCAAGAGAGAAGAATTAATAACCTATTTAATAATTACATCATAATCGCGGAGGAATAATATACAGGAAATTTACGTATCTACACTTTTTCAATCGTGCAGATTTTTTTTTAACCGACAAACTAATTTCACGCTGATGCGTTGCGCTGTGCGTGCTGCACGTAGTGTGTCATTAACCGGCTTATTGGCCGGATAAAATAAATGCCGGCGTCAAGAATTTCCCCCCCAATTGCCTGCGAAATGAAATGGTCTCGAGCGTTATATTTCCTATCCCTCTCCTTTCTTTTACGGAGGAGTTCAAGGACGCGGAGATGGGATTTCTCGATGATGACGTTCGAAGGAATAAAGATTCGAATTAACGGACGAATTAATGAGTAATTCGGAATTCTTCATACACGAACGGAGCTCCGATTCTTTTTTTTAATAAGCAGCACTCTACAGCGCTTTATTCGCGAGCGGACTTTGACAATCAGCTGATCCGAAAGAAAACCTATGAGCTATCCGCTTCTAATCATGGATAACGCTCTCTCTTGAGTGTATCAATCACCAATATAACTGACATATACACGCCATCTGCGCGTGCGTATTCTTAAAAGTATGTGCGCGGGTGTATGTAATACGCGCGCGCGCGTGGTGGCCAAATAAGAATGATGTCATCGCGTGACGCACGTGGAATTGGCCGGCGCTCATCAGCGCTCATGCTCAGCCGGCCGAGTCCATGGAATACGGGGAATGCGGCCGTTAATGAAACTTACGTATGTACGCGCATCTCACCCGAAGAAACCGTATCCGTTGATTATCAACGCGTAGCGAACGCTCGTCTTACAAAGATATCGCCGATAAGTCACGCTCTTCGACCGCAACATATCGCGCAGCTTCTTTTCTTCTTGCGGATAGAAAGCGCATCGCGCGAATTACACTACACTTGTATGCGCCCCTGTCTCTATCTCGTTCAGTTAACGCATCGAAATCGCTCCCCTAAAAAAAAAAAGAAAAAAAAACAAAGGAAACAAGAGATGTAATCAATTCTATCGAGGATTCTTTAGTAACTCACAGCACAACAAGTCAGAGACGAGTGTGTTTGTCGGAAACTTTTTATTTGTTTGTAATTTCGATTTTTTTTCTAAATTATCCATTAATATCTCACAATGGGTGAAGAATTTTCCACTTGTCTAATTGGAAGAAATACGGCGAAATAATAGAAAAGAAATCCGAATATTTCCTTCATGCTACAATTTTTATTACAATTTGTTTGTTAGTATTAGCATGTTGCCGTTATTTTTAATATGCAGTGTGCTAAGAAATTCGTATATTCGAGAAACGTGAGACTGTAAATTTGATATGCAAAAGTTTCCGTCTGTGTTTAGCCCAAAGATTTCATCAATCAACAATCATGCAATAATTATTTTTAAAATGTTGACAGAAAAATTCAATTTCGTACATATGTGTGTAATATAATATGAATAAAATATTAAACAATGATTTGCAATTCGATCGATATCATGAATTCGTGTATATTTCGCGTCAATTGAATGTTCATCAGTTATTCAACCGAGACATTATGAACAGTTGTGTTATATAAATTCACGCGTAGTTATCATTCGTAATACAGTGCACGATCTAGAAATAATGCCCTGGATGATGCGGAAAATTGGATACCACTCAATTATTGTAGTCACTCAAATTATCGTGACAATTAAAAAACATTGTCACGTTGTATCAATCTTTAGCATGCTATAAAAAATTGTACAATAGCTAAAGAGAAGATGAGAAGAGAAGAGAGGCCCGCTGTTACACCCGTAACGGCTAATCTATGAAATGAATTTTATGGTATGCGCGTTATCGCGTACATATATGATAAAATTATCATTGAAGCTGTAAATCTTGCCTTACGGCGTTCGTTAGAAAACGATACAATGTATTGATCTGTAACTACAAATGAGAAAAAGTCAGCTATGATGTCCATAAAGTTCATGTCCATCTATCACACAACCAGCCGTACTTTAATTTTGTTGCGGTGGTTCCGGATCGTTCGGATTGCCGCCCATTTGCCGTCTCAGCGACTCGATCAACTCGGGGTTTGCGTTCTGCATTTGCTGCGCCAATTGTTGGCCTCTGAAATATTTATATGCATACATACAGAATTCACACAAGTCACATATCCCTCATTTGCTACAAGGACACAACTCAAAAAATAGAATTTTCCAGAAAATAAGTTTGAATATTTTGAATCATTAAAATTTTATAATATTAATTTTAAAATACAATTTTAATGTAATAACTGATTTTAAAAAAATAAAAGTTCTTTTTTTCTTTACGTTTTTCCGTTTTTTTTTGCAAGCAACTGGAAAATGATCGTTTTTGAGTTTTGTTGTATATCAGTATATTATTTTTTGAACTAAATGCTAAAATTTATGATTGTATTCTATCAAACTTACGCCTCTATGAGTAATTCCATGCGACCACCCTCTTCCACGTTACCAGACATAAGATTACACATCATGGTCTGCATAGCTGGGTCGGATAACATCTGACGCGCCATATTCATTAAAGAAGGATTGCTTAAAAGAGCGCTCAAATCCATTCCGGGTAAATTAGGGAGAGACTGATTGACACCTAATTGGGCCAATTTCTCTTCCGCCAATTGCAAATTGTTTCGATAACTCTCGTTATCCGGTTCCATCGCTAAGGCTTTCTCATAACTCTCCTTAGCCTCTTTATGCCTCTCCAAACTTGAATATGCTAAACCTAATCGACCGTATGCCTTGCTGTACGATGGATCAATAGAAAGCGCCGTGTTACAGTCTTTAATAGCTAAGGTGTGATTACCAAGTTTGCTATGAACGGCAGCTCTATTACAATAATACACTGCATTGCGAGAATCTAATGTTATTGCCCTGTAAGCGAGCAAGCTTAAGTTAAAAAAAGAACAATATTTACTCAAATTAATAAAAAGAAACTATGCGTACTTTGTGTAATTGGCAAGCGCTTCATGATGTTTCTCTTGTTTCATAAGTGCATTGCCTTCGTTTTTCAATCTTTCTGCTTCAGCTTTTGCTTCCGGCGTAGCTTCTGGACCCAGAACCGGCGTAGCATTCTCCATTGCATTTTTATAAATTTGATGCAGATTTACGTTTGCGGGAGCATCAGAGGCTTGTACATTATAAGCACTCTCCAGACACTGGATTGCTACTTCCAAACTCTCTCGTGAATCAGCAGTTATATCGCCATCTTGCAATTGGTCTGTCAGAAACTTGACAATCGACGAGACTAGTCCCTTGACAGCCATCAGTACTCAGTGAAAAAATGCTCCTGCAAAGAAGACGTTATCCAACATGTTATATTCCATTATCATTATGCTATATATAATATCAAATTACCCTGCAATTAGCAAGTAAAAAACAGTAAAGAAAATTGAAAGGAAAACAGCATTGAGACACAAGAAAGATATGCTAAAGTATATATTTCTTTAATGGAGCACCAGTAATAAAAAAAAACTAAGGCTGATTTCGAATCAAACTTTAATCGAGTTAACCAGTAATTAACTTATCAAATAACAATTGTATTATCTTATTAATAACGGAATTATTAATTTGTTGTTGTTTAACATATGGAAAAGGATTAGATTAGGGACAGCAAGTTACATAGTTTAAAACTATTCTTCTGTTTTAAGAGAACTTTAATTCTGCTGGCTAAGTTAATCACCGAATAAATTTATCAGAATCCGGTCAAAGTCGCCGTGAACGTGGCAGGCGATCAACCGTCGAATTGCGTCTGATTACGCTAATTCATCCTCGGTCAACATAACCAAAAAAAAACAATGTAATGAAAAAGTATCGCCGAGCGCGCTCTCGAGGATCAAACAGGATCAAAGCGGACATTGAAGGGCAAAGAGATTCTTTTTAAGGATTCGACTCTCGATAATTCGGGTCATCGATGACCATAAATGTTTCTCACGCGTTTCATCTAAAATGGCATCAAACCACCGAGCCTCGTGGATGTCGACGTTCGTGACAGCTGATATGAATGAATGTACGTAGCGACCACGATTGAGCAAATCGCGAGGAAACGTGAGATAATCACACCTTTGTCTCGATCAACGGTCGACCTGGAGCAGGAACGGAGCACCGAACGAAACACAGACGGAGGGGAGCCTCCACTCGCGCGCACGTAGAGGTTCGAAGTTGTCTGTCGAAGGTGCCTACTTCACTTCGGTGCGGTTCGCGCGCGCCTCGCGTACCAGCGGCGAACTTCAGTTGCTTCCGCTGTGCGAAGTGGTGCGAAGTTGGTATACGACTTGCATGCTCGTATTTCGCTTCCGAAGAACGGGATCTGAAATGGAGAAATATTTAGGTATACAGCTGTGTATTCAACGAACAGAAAGCTTTATAACGTTTAAATTCGAGGGAATATCTTATGAACCGAAAGCTGTACGAGTAGTAATAACGTTGCGAACGGAAGTTTCTTGAATTTTACACTGACGTTGTTGCATTGCCGAAGGTATGTGAAAAATCCAGCTAAAGCATGTAAAAAAAGTAGCAACGAGTTTTCCACAAGTGTACGATGTATATTTTGTATCGCAATTCACATTGTTTATTATAATTTCACTTATATTTTACGGAAACGTGTAACACATACGCATAACCACGGTTTGAAATCCGGAGGTCACCACTTTAAGTGCGCAAGCGCGCGCTACGATCTGTACTGCGATTGTTTAAACTTACTCTACTGTAAGATAAATAAAATATTGATACAATTTGATACTGTTGTATAAAATAAAATATTCCATCAATTCCCGCGCTGTATTAACGCTTTCATTGCTCATACATTCTATCATTGTTTTTAATTTCGAGAGCCCGACTAATATTTAAATTTTGATTTTAATTAAATAATATTGTGGCAAAAAGAATATATTACAAAAATGTTAAGAATATATATATTCTTATATTAACATGATGAAATGTTATTTTTGTCATTTTTTATAACTTTAAAAGATCTTTTTGGGGTAATGACGATTTTTTTATGAAGTTAAGTTAATTCGCTTTTGATGATTGACTTATTCATGGTAAATAACTTGAAAATTACGTTTTTTTGATTGTGCCATTTTTAAAATAAGGGAGCGATATATGTATAATAAATAATTCTCAATTATTATATTTTACAATATTTAGGTTTTATCATGCCAAATTTTATTCGCAAATAACGTTTTCAACGATATTTGTTTTAACAATATAATAACAATAAGAACAAAATTCATTGATTAATTTTTGCATATTGATTAATTAATTAAATGTAATAATTAATTAATTATAAATAATACAAAATTATTAATAATACAAAAGAGTAAATATACATATTAATAATCATTATCGCCGTGTTATAATTTATAATGCAGTCAATTAACCCATACAGAACATTGAAAGAATGTTGAATGTTGAAGTGTGAATATTTTTTCAACAATGAATTTGCATTTCGTGGTATCGACGCAATATTTGCAAAGTTATAAAGTTTAAAGTCTCTGACGTATTGATTCAACATTAGCCCAGTAATTGAGAGTAGTTTAAAATAAATTGAAATTTTTATGCGTGTTTTAAATCCATTGAATTAATTAAATAAAAAAAACTTTTTTTACTTAATTGGAATCAATTGAATTTAATTGGATTGAAAAACTGCATTTTCTTTTCAGAATTTTGAATTGAGCAATATTCACGATGCGAAGAAAAAGCTGATATTATTTTAAAATTGAAAAGCATAAAAATATGCTTTATGCAATTCCCATAAATGAATAAAAATGCATTCGGATGTAATAAAATTTAGTTTAACATTTGCGAATGCACATTTCTCAAAATCTGATTCCATTTCAATCCATTTCAATCCATTCCGTTTACTAGGAGTGTGCTATATGGGATTTCTATATCGATTTAAATAAATACTTATCAATATACGCATAGATATATACAAAATTCACTTTTATGCCGATCTTTAAATTCGTCGCGTTAATGTGGACCCTGTTTTACAATGCGGAAAATTATGTTGTCGTCATCTGTGCCAGCCAAAATATAATGATTGTTCATATGGTAGAATGGCATCATCGTTCGTAAGCCATTCACGGAGTGTTGCATTTTCATTTGGAATTTCTGAAAATAATTGTGATTATATGTTATTTAATCTTAGAATTATTTTATGTCGTTGCATTTCATAAGAAATTCGATAATGAGAGAAAGAAAGAAAGAAAGAGACGAGCAGAGAAAAGTAATCGAGATGGAAACGGTTTATTCGTTTTATTTATAGTAAATTTACCCCGGCAAACATATATTCATAAATATAAAACTGTCCACTCTGGGTCGTCACAATCACAAACACATCACTGTTGCCATACTCTGCAAGAGAAAATAATGATTATACATTATAATAAATAAATCATAATAAAATCATAATAAAATCTCAATCATAATAATTGTAATAAATTGCGTAGAAATGATATATGTATGTGCGCCTTTTAATTACATTAATTTATCATTTCAATAATCATACCATCGGTGTAGAAGTACTCAATTCCGTTAATCTGATGGGAATGAAAAATGCTTTGATAATTATAAAAATTTCGAAACTCAGGGTCGTATTTGTAAATGTTCATTGCGTTTATATCAGGATTGTCCAGTAGAACGAAATAATCTTTTTCTTGTGACAAACTTTTTACGTAACGACTTCTGCTTGTGAATGTTCTCAGCTGTTCAAACTACATTTGAAAAAATAAAGAAGTTTTTACATAAAGGAAAATTAAATTAATTTTTGTATAAATTTTAAATTATTTTAATTTTTACATTTTTTTATATATAATTTTTATATTATGCTATGTTTTTATATTTATATAGGATAGTATAAGTTCTAATTTTTATATTTTACAAAATGTAACATCAATCGTTTTTTTTTTATCTTAATTACAATTATTTAAGCAATTAATTTATACCTTTTGTGTTGTTGGATCGAATCTGTATAATAAAGATTTCAAGGACTCGCCGTAACAGCCGATGAGAAGAAATACTTCGTGATCGATATTGAAAATTTGAATGGACCAAGCACCATCCGTAGGAATTTCCTGGACTAACGTTGCGTTTCTCACCGAATGCACTCTATAAAGCAAGGAATTTGTGCGATGTGTTGCGCGTACTTTATCATAGTATATCGCCAGAACTATATATACATCACCTGCAAATTAAATATTACATTAATTTTTTTAAGTTTCGTTAACATTTTATTATAATTTTAATGACAGATTTTCTAATTGTGCTGCGAATACCATCGTGCTTAAAAATCTTGGCGTCCTTTAAGTATCCTTCTATTTTATGAAAAACTTCTTCGTGATTCATTTTAAAATTTTCTATCATCATCAAGGAAATCGTAGTATATTCTGGTTTGGTTTCCGTCGAGGTACATTCCTTGCTGCTTGAGACAGCATTCGTCATTACATTCACACCGAACATCTCGCCTGAGTCGTGAAAATTTTTCACGATCTCCCCGGTGTTCACTTGCCACTCTCGTATAGTTCTGCCCGTATCACTGAACTTAATGAGATCAATCACAGACTGATACATACACGAACAATTGTCAAGTAGCCCACAAAATCTTCCAGGCTGCTCCCTATACATATTCAACCTAACTGTGTTCTCGTCAAAATACACTACATCGATCTTACTGACATTGGATCCAGGTATCTCCAAATCCTCTTCCTCCTCTAGATAGAAAAAGACGTTGCGCAAGGTTTTGGATATTTGCGAGCTGTATTCGATATTCTGTTCGATTATTTTCCAACGTTTCTCCAAGTCCTTAATAGTTTCGTGTATCTTTCCTTTGAAATTGTTGACGACAGAATGCAGATTCACGCCGTTCACTAAACCAGAAGTACTTATGTTTTTAATCCGAACATCCGCCTTGAAAATCTGGTAGAAGAGATAATTGAAGAAATGAGAGCCATACATAAGTTACGAATACAATACAAATTTTTAAGGAATAATTTTTTTTTATATGTATACGTATATAAACATTATTTTATTGAACGAAAATGTTAACGCTTTAATTCTTAAATATTAATTTAGCTTGAATATTTTGTAAGTATTTGCGTCAAATTGCAACGGTTTAAGTTGATTTTAATCTCCTAATTTGAAATCTTTTAAATTTTTATTTAGATTATATAAGAAGAATCTGTGCTTAACAAAATTTTCTTGCAATGTAATAAAATTTGTCGGGATTCTTTCAATATTGTACTAACAAGGTCACCAAAGATGTCGACATTTCCATCAATATTTTGTACACCGTCGTTATATTTTTCCATTATATTGACATTATTAATTCGTGGCGCAACAACGTCTCCATCGACTATCAAGTCCTCTTTGAAAGTCTTTATGCCATCTATTATTTGCACCTTGTCAACATCATTGAGAACAAAATTAGATGGATAAATTCCATTAATTTTCCTTATATTTGCATTGCCTAAAATACGATAAATAAGATAATGTCAAATTTTTCCTAAATTTTGCAGTCAATTTTTTCTAAATAATTTTGCATGGAAGCTCTTATCGTTTTTTCTCAAAAAGAATACAATTTTATCGTAAGATCCAATAAATTCTGTTAAAGTTTGTCATTTTTATCAATATTCGTATTCTTTAAATTACAAATTGAAATAAGAAAATAGTGCCATCAAATTATAATTTCAATTTAAATAAACTTAATTCAGATAATTGTTGATTGCCAATCATTTACCTGTTACTGTAACGATACCATTGAATTTCACGTTGCACGAGATTTCATGATCTCCGCTAAGGGTGACACGATCTTTTACAAACTTGTCAAAGTCAATTTTATTCAAATTTTGTAAATACACGTCACCCAGCACCTCGAGTTCCTCGAAATAGATATTGTCTGGCATAACATCGTTGGAACGGACCGCTGCGTTGATGGACGCGTTGAGATCGGTATCGTTTACGTAGAGCTTCTCGATTGTGATATCCTTGAGGAATGTTAACGGACCAACAATCATGTCGTCGTGATTCTGCCTAAAGACAGAATTATTGAACTCGAGGATATTCACGTTGTTGATATTGGCAATACCCAGATCGCCGTTCACTTTCAAATTGTCCGCGACAAAGTCTTCCTCGAAGATTTTTGTTCCGTTGATCTCAATGTGTTCTCCGTAGTC